GTAAGCGACACGCCGGTGACGCTGGCATTGGTAAATGCGAGTCAATTAGAAGATTAAGCGTTGACAATTACAGTGTCGGATCGCGATCGTATATCAACAATTATCGTGCGAGTGCGACAAATGGCAAACAGGCCTCGTGCGCGTGTAAGCGCGGTACAGCCATAACGCACGGACCGTGAACATGGATGTGCTTAAAATTACTATAATAGCAAAGTCTAAATATTCTCGGAAACGTCATCTTCACTTGGAAACATAGAAGAGAATCTAATTTAAGTATTTATAGTCTTGCATAGACAAAAAGTGTACAGGGAAATAACTATTTCTGATAAAGACGAGATATGCTTAACGCTGTTGGAGACACATAATATTGTATATATCAATACAAAAGTATTTGTCATACTTTTTAACGCGTAGGTAGGTACCTCAACTTTAGATGGCACGTAAAGTATTGACGGCATATCCATTTTTATTTGCCCAGTGCAGAGCTCGCAACGCAGGCACACATGGGACACGTCACTCGATAAATTTCACCGAGCCTAGTTATGCGAATCGCCCACTACCTGCAACGGTTTTTTTGTGAAAAAAATGTTGGTAACAATTTGAAGTCGAAAATTTGAAATGTCAACACTGGCCTAGGATTTTTTGGTCGCGAACCGATGAATAAAATGCTTTAAAGTATATTATATTATATCACATTATACATCGAATTTTGGTTAAGTTAATGCGGTAGCATGAAGTTATTAGAAAAAACGATAAACTATAAAAACAAAACAATTTTCGTCTAATATTTTTCCCCAGCAGAAAACATTGTGTAAATCTGTGAACTTTTCAAATAAATGACCCGTGTCATACTTCTAATATATCATATTGTTATTTATAATTTTGCCTCAACATCAAAGTGAGTTTGAAGAAAACATAATTTAAAAGAGAAATGTAGAGTTCTTGTAATATCGTTTCGTTTCATGGTTTAAGAAATGTAGAATGCTTATTAAGATAATTATGTCATCTATTGTTCATTGACCATTGAATCATTTCATATATAAATAGTGTAATTTATATAGAGGTATTTATGTTCATTTCACGTTACCGAAGATCTTATCCGTGTTTGTATGTTTATTGTGTATTATACAGAAGATTTATGAGATACGTGGTGGTGAGATCCAAATCAAAGACGCCGCTATGTGCCAACTCGTATTATAGATACTATCTATCAATAGTCATAGTACCTAAAAGTTAGCAAAATTGTATCTGTTTGTATTTAATTAATGCTCCGAAAAGTGTGTATTTTTTGTAATATTAAGTTTATTGAATATCATATTTTACTACCATGATATTCAATTATTTCTTGTGAAATTTCTCCACTAGTTTCGTTATAATTATGAATACTAAGAAAAATTCCTTCGTTCCGCTTGGATTCGAACCAGCGCCTTTAGTCTACCGCGCCAGTCGCTCTCCTTGAGCTACGGAACTAACCAGCAGCCATTAAGAATTTTTCTATGTGCTTGTTGCAAATCTTTATTTTTGATTTTTGACGACTTTTACGACGACAATTGGTTTTTAACGACTTCGTGATAACCAATAACCTTAATATTACAATTTTTAAACCAACATCACTAGTCATCCGCTGGAAGCTGTAAAGGTACGTGGCTGAGTGAAGAAAATTTTTCGTAGATTTCGCTATCATAGATGGCGCTACGGTCTAAACGTTAAAAACAAAAAACAAAGATCTGCAACAAGCACATACAAAAATTCGAAAGGTCTGCTGGTTCGTTCCGTAGCTCTGTTGGAAGAGCGTCAGGCACGGCATGCTGAAGGCGCTGGTTCGAATCGAGCCGGATCGAAGGCATTTTTCTTAGTGTTCGTTTCTTTGTGTTAATAACAAATATATCTGTTTGAATTTAATTAACGCTACCAAGAGTATTTATCTTTTGTCATATGTTAAACATATTTCTCTTTACGCGTAAATAAATATCTTAAGTGCAAAAACTAAATTAGTAATGACCACTTAATAAGTCTTTTTAAATTGCACTAGCGTCTGTATCCCTCGTTAATCACCTCCACTGTTGGGTGCTTTTTACCTTTCATATGTATGAATTCAAAATATTATCTACAATTTTTTTTTTAATTTGGATAAGTTCAGCAGTTTAGGCGTGGTTGTAAAACAAACATTCAAATATCCATTGTATAATAAACATTCCCATTCATTAGAAGAAAGGTTTTACTTTACTTTGTTCGCTTACCACTTATTCTTCACCATACTGTGACTGTTGGCAAAGCGACGGCCAGGAAACATTTTCACAATGCTTCTGTTATCGACGATAGATACCATTATGAAAACATGTTAATTTAAATCTGTTCGCACACGTTTACGATCGCTGATCCGGATACCTTATAAATGACTGCGAAAATTTCATAACATTTCCTCCGGAAAAATCTAATGTTATCGACAACAGAATGAATGTGCTATATTTTTAACCCTTGCGTAATCTAACTCAACAGTTTCATTAGAACGTCTTTTGTTGATATCGTCGAATGGTACAAAATTAAAACTTGGTGCTATCGTAATTGTGGTGCAGCAGTAAAAAGTTTAGTATCGCCGTAACGACCTCAGCTGGACGCGCTCTAAACTATTGAACACAAAGCGCAGAGTCGACAAACCATCAAAATATTTGCGAAGCGAATGAAAAATGGATCCCCGCTGAATAAAGAACCGTGCACAAAGAGGCAGGTTTTAAATCTCAGCTTACGTATGAGCTGTACGATTAGCATGCCAACTACTGGGGAAGCGACCAACAGACAGACGTATTTACATTATTCTATTACGCCTGTTATGATAATCTCGTTGGGGTGAATGGAGCTAATGTGGCTTTAGGAAGCAAGCAACACCGATTTTCTCTTCTATTTTTCATTTCTGTAAATATTTAACCATGAAAGGAGCTTTATGAGTGATTGCAATGTGATTATGATGAACATAAAATAAATAAATTGTAAGGTCACTCCGACATTTTGATTTTTTGCCTCAAAACTTTTTATCGCAAATTCATCATAAAATACAATTAAGCACAGAACAAAGTGAACAATTGCAACTCTATTCATGTGGTCGACTTCGAAATACGTCAATCACTGTTAGAAGCGGTCTGAAGTTATTAAGAACTCAATGAGTCCTGCGAAATGCACCTGACTCGACATTACGTTCGCGTTATATTACCCGACGATTCGGCCGTTCTCTGCGGAGCAATTCAATTACAGTGAAAGATCCCTCATAAGCGAATCGTTTTTCCGAGTCATTAATTTTTTCGAACGACACGGGGCCCGCGTGATATGGCGGGGTGGGTCCAGGCGCGCGGCTATCTCGCGAGATAATGCTGATTTATGCGGCCGGGCGACGGTCGCGATTCGTCGCGCCCTATGTCGCCGTATCCGCGACTCTAGTCTCTTGTTTGTTTAGCCGCTGCTTCCATCCTGCGTACGTTGCTCATTTGTGACGGTTAGTTGGAGAGATTTATGCTAATCGACGAGGCCGACGCGGATAAGCTCGCATGACGGTGTGTGGCAAATTTTCTCCCATTGCGACTTCCCAGAGCCCTTTGTAACGTTTGCAATCTTTTATTAACTTTCATGACCGTGGCTAAAGTGCCGATAATGTGGAAAAAGAGATAGCGTGGGCGCATTATGAAGATATATCGGTCATTAACATAACATAACTGATGATGGTATTCGGGAGGTGATGTAATTTGACAATTTATTGCGATTACTACTACGGAGTTATAGCGAATCAACACAATATAAAACATGCCTGAGCATTGTTCTGGGCTGCTAAGTTTGGAAATAAATGTGACTGGAATATATTTCCAGATGTCGTATTTTATGGTGCGTGGTAGAAAAAACTGAACGCCCGAGGCGTCGTTAACTCGAGAACATTATAAGGAATAAATAAGTGAGGTATTAATAAGGCTTTATAGTCCATGAAAGAGCTTTCATTGTTTTGTGTGCACCACTTGCCTTTGTTCTTATTTATTTATTTAACGGCAACGTACTTAGCATTGAATATATTTCGAAACAGCGTAGCTGAGAAATTAAAACTTCCCAAATATTAAAGTAAAAGAACTCAAGACATTCAAACTCAGGATATTCAGTTTCATCAGCGTATGAGTGTTATAAAGCTATAAATTTAAAAATTTTAAATGACACAAAAAATATCATGTTTAGGTGTTATCGTTGTTTGTTTGTGCTAGGTAGGGGGAGGAGAGAGAGGGTGCAGTGTGGCATAAAGCGTTATCAAAAGATTAGGTTGGTGAATTTGACACGATCGGCGAGCTGTCGCGCGCTGATTTACACTGCCGACGATAAGCAAACCTGGCGAATGTGGTACCTATTCGATAGCATAGAATGGTCGGTGACACACAAACATATAAATATTACTGATCCAAAAATTTTACACTTTTAGAGATGGTTATGAAGTAGTGTTTTAGAGCAATCAGATTTTTGCGCATAATTTGTCCAGTGACACGTACGTGATCCCAAAAATTTTTATTTTTAGAACTCTATGAACGACGTCAACGATTGAAAGCGAAAAGAATGTCATTGTTGACAAAATCAAAAGCCAATAAAATCGATACATGGATTGATTGTGAAAGCCGTGTAGTATCGCGCAGCCACTGCAGCGGCGGCGGCCGATTGGCCATTGTTCCACGCGGCGCGACCGACACGCCTTGCGCCGCCGCAAGCCGCGCACTGTGCCACCTACCTTATCGCCCATGATGGCCATGCCCTACCTACCACAAAGGATTTTTAATTTTCTTACAACTTTCGGATACTAATAGGCTATTTGATATGCCTGACGATTTTTAGATTACCTTGCAATAAAATATCCAATGCATGCATGTTGTTTATTTCGACGTACCTACCAGGAACCTACGACGAACGTACCTACGACATATTTAGGTAGGGTACAACAAATCATACGAATCGAGACAAATCATGGTTATTAAAAATCTTACCTTCCAGTCTTGGTTATGATCATTTCAGTTCCGAGTTCATTAAACTTGTCCCATAGTTCTTTAGTTTCTAAGTGACACTGTATGTGTTTCATGTCTTCACTGGACCAGCGTTCCACTAGTTGAGGATTACGCGGGAGAGGGGAGAGAGCTCTCGAGCCACCAGCCGCACCACTAGCTGAGCCAGCTTCCGACGTTGACGAGACATCTACCGGAGAATCTCGCTCATATTCTGCTAAAGGCGGCGAAGGGGATCCTGATGCTGACGCTGCCGCGTCGACGAATTTTTCTGAAAAAAAAAAGTACGATGTGATACATACCCCATATAATAGACACTACCGACAATCATTATTTATTTCTTTATACTTAATCCTTTGTTTTATATATGTACCTGCAATGTACAAAAAGAGAACTGTAATGGTATTTTGAAATTATGGTTCCATTTATTTGCCACACAAAACATACAGACAAAAAAGTCTTATAAAATAAGACAATAACTAAGTAACTAAAACAAACAAAATACAAATTTGGTTACACTTAACCCACAACTATGCGAGAATTCTAAACTCAGTAATTCAAACACAGATTTTCAGTCAGAACCTCCCTGTGAGGAGCTACGGTCTCACGTTGGTGTGTCAGATATATAAGTTAGCATAGACTAATAACCAAGATATCTATGAGGAGCGGAAACGAGAAAAAAAAAACATTAAACATAATATTTTTGTGTGTGTCAAGTGACGGGACGAACAAGTCGTGCGCCTGATTGTAAGCAACACGCCTGTCCATAGCAATTTCAGTGCCACTCAGAACCTTAAACCACAAATATCTGAGACATAAGTTGACTAGTCCCATGTGCTCATAATTTCAACAGCTCCCTACAAAACCAGAACGTAGTAATGCTCTCATTACTGCTTGCCGGCAGAAATAGGTAAAGTAGCAGTACTTCCGTGGATGAGCTCTTTCACAAGGAGCTCCATTGCTACTAAACTTACGTACATAATAATGTAGACCGTTTAAGGACTGTTAAATTTAAAACAAAAAAAGGAAAATAAAAAAGTTAGAGTTACTGATGACCAATTAAAAAAACAACTTAAAGTAAAATACTTCACTTCGTCAGCCGCATCATCGCTTAACATCGTGTCCCAGCGTTTATTTATTTTACTTAAGAAATTGTTATCAATACGTAAATGTCACATACAATTTATAACGTTTTCATACAAAAAACATCAACAAGTTAGCGCGAGTTCGCGTACTTTGAAAGGTAATGTAAGTTTACAGATAATAACTTTGTGTATTATTACAATATAAAAATTTTAAATTACTGCCAATTTTATTTTTCAATTGTAAGCAATAATAGCAGTAGAGGTCCTTGTGAAAGAGTTCGTCTAGGGAACTACTGCCACCTTACCTATTTCTGCCGCCAGGCAGTAGTGTGAGTTTCGAAGGGTAAGGGAGCTGTTGAATTTACAGGCACATGGAACTTGCCAACTTATATCTTTGGGTGACGGGCGCAGCGCTGAGTGGTACTGCAGCTGCTATGGAAAGGCGTGTCACTTACAATCAGGCGCACGACTTGTTTGACCTGTCCCTAAGTTTTTACAAAAAAAAAGACACTTATGTTACAGATATATTAACATACTTAATTCAATTTTTCTAAAATTACAATTACGTTAGTATAGGCATCAAATGAGCGAATTGTAGCTGAGCTTACTCATATTAATAATAATAATAGATTTATATTCTTCTTATCGTATCCATGGCGTTGTTGTGAAAGGATTTACAAATCGGCGTAAGGCACTCGTTGATGGTTGTGGTGTCGTTGATTTTTTTTGTACGCAAGTCAAGCAAATGAATTCTGAACCCTGTCAGCAGTGATGTCCAAGATGCCGTTACATATTATTTGATGTGACCAAGGATTTTTTGTAATTTTATGTATCGATGAGTCCTAAGTATAAAACCATTTCCCACAAAGTGAAAATTAACAAATTGTTAGTTTCGCCCTTATGCTTACGACTCGTGTGAATTAAACCTTACGCATTCATATATATTCACAAATAAATATACTTAAAAAAACGCCGAAGAAGATGTCTAGTACTTAAAAAAGTTAAAATAAAGTCATCGACGCGTTAAAAAGAAAAATCCGATATTAACAAAATACTTTTTAAAATATGATTGTTATTACTTATATTCAATAATTATTTGGGTGTGCATGCTACATCGTCGACCTCATCGTCACTTTCCATCGACAAAGATGGCGGTGAAATGCGCACTCATTAAGAAATAATATTAGTAATCTTTAACGTAAAATATAAAGTTAAACTATAAAAACGTTTAGGTACATACCCAATTATGTAGTGCAAATTGCGTACCCTTGATATAATAAAGCCATATGTCAAAAGTGCTTTTATCACGCGAAAGTCATAAAAATAATACGAAAAATATGGAACAAATTATTCTTATATATGCATTTTATAACTCTGAAAAACATAGAAAAATGTCGACTAATTTCATTCTTTTTTGAAATTTTAAAGCTCTTTCCTGAAAAGTTGTCAATTTGTTTTTTTTTTTATGATACCAAGTGATGGGATGAACAAGTTGTGTGTCTGGTGCTAAGCGACACGCCTGTCCATAACAGTTGGAGAGCTTTAAATTGCAAGATCTAAAAGACACACAAAGAACTCTTAAAAAATCATTGTTTATCGAGAATTTAGTACCAGTAGAGCTCCTTTTGAAAGAGCTTGTCCAGGAAAGTACTGCCACTTTACTTATTTTTGCCTCCAAGCAGTAATGCGAGCATTACTGCGTTCTAGTTTTGAAGGTTATAGGTGCTACTGAAATTACAGGCACTCTGAACTTGTCAACTTGTTTCTTAAGATGACAGGCGCAATGGCAGTGCCCCTCAGATCTTTGCAATTTAAAGCAATGAGTAGCACTGCAACTGCTATGGATAGGCGTGTCGCTTACCACCGGACGACGCGTTACTTGGTATCATGAAAAAAAAATGTTGTCTGTATGATTATCTCAAACGGTAAGCACAGGTGACAAGCCCAGTGTCCAAAAAAATACTTACTACTTAGAAGCTGAAGTGCAGCCGTGAAATAATCCGCCACGGTTCACTTAGATCTGGTAAAACCATGACAGGTACTTGCTATTGTGAAGAATTGCAGATCATGATGCATGCAGTGAAATGACCATGCTTAATCAACTGTCAAAACTATCTCCACCTTTCAGGAGTTGCATATGGAATCTCTTGCCACTCACCTGTTTTGTTCGCAACAGACTATCATTTTCGTAGTTTAAGTAATTTAAACCCATGTACATGTTTATAGGAACGCTATAAAAGGTTGAATTATTATGATCATGTGAAATATTGCGCACTGGCCATATATACCGGAACGTGTAATTTAAAAAAGGAATACTTCAATCATCTTTTCATCTTCATTGCGATTAAACGTTCTAGTATATTCTAGTATGTGTAGCCAGTGGTTCATTTGAACGTTGTTATCATAATTGAACCTTTTTTTAGCGTTTCATAAATATGTTCATGACTTATCTACAAGGAAAATAATGCAGTTGAAAATGGGTTCCAAGACCGAATATTCCCGTTCACACCTATTCTACTGCAAAGGATCTGCCAGTAAATGTAGTAGCAGTAGAGCCCCCTGTGAAAGAGTTCGTCCAGAGACGTACTGCCACTTTACCTATTTCTGCCGCTATCAGTAATGTGAGTATTAACTGCGTTCCAGTTAGGAAGGGTAAACCAGTGCCCCTAAGATCTTTGCGATTTAAAGCTCTAATGGCACTGCGACTGCTATCGATAGGCGTGACGCTTACAACCAGGTGCACGACTTGTTCGTCCCGTCACTTTGTATTTGAAAAAAAAAGAATTAAAATGGCAGAACTATATTACGACTAAATAAACGTAATTTTTGAAAGATGAAGATTTTGTTTCTTTGAATTCTCATATGTATACTTACCAGTAAATTAATTATTTAAGCCCTATTTTTATATTTACAGTATTATAATATAGATACAAAAACACCAACCCTATCGAATAGAAGGCAGACAATACAAAAAATATATCTGCGTCCATTTCTTGCAGATTTTTTTCACCAATTAGAAGAAAAGTCATGTAGATGATTTGTAAATAGGTATAGAACCACCCTAGAACAGGATCTAGTGTCCCCATAAAAAAGTATTTAACATTTGTATAATTTTTATTTGCTCGTACATAGAATGTAGTCAAATATTCTTATTATTTCTTTACCTTACCTATCATTGGAATACCTTTTCTATTTACTCCCAGAAAATCAGTAAAAATGTTGGTTTCGGTTTATAAGAATAAAAAAAATTATAGACATTTTGTTAGCATACATAATAATGTTAAATATAATAAAATAAATACAAATTGTATACGATTTTTGGCTGTACAGTGTGTTGACTCAGAGAGCACATACTTGTGCTGTTAAGTAAACTACCTTTTCATCTATATACTTTTTTGGTCTAATGATACTTAACAAAAATAAAGTAGCTAAAACAAAAATACTGTTTAAAATAATTGTGTTAGAAATATATCTAGTTACACAAAATGTAAACACTAGATAATAATATTTCGTATCTAGTTTACCAAATAAACCACTTAAAACATGATAGGTAACAAGGTTTACTGCAAAACACTTTTCGTACTTCTTTTTCTAAATGCTTATGCTTGTTAACCTACATATATATTTTAAGTTTTAACTTTGTTTTTTTTTAAAAAATAAACAATTTTATTAAAAATGAATTGTGACGTTCACTAAATTGACTATTATTATGAATATAGTTAAAAAAATCTAACCAGAATATATCCAAATGTTTGTTTTTCATTCGTCTTGTAAAACTTTGTATTTTGACTTTTATACAATTTTTAACCGACTTCAAAGAGAGGAGGTTCTCAATTCGACTGTATTTTTTGTATGTAAGTTACGCGATTACTCCGGTGACATTTGTAAAACGATTTGAATGATTTTTTTTTGTTGGAAAGAGGATACCTCAACATTTGTCCCATTTAAATTTGAAGGAAATATTCCACCTCTAAGGGTTGCAAACTAGGGGATGAATCCGGTTTCTCGTACTTTCCGATAACCGATTTCAATAAAACTTAGCAAATGTATGTAATTCCACGAACTTCTGAGGTTGGTTTTTTTGATAATAAAATTAATCCTCGAGTATCAGTTGTTTAATGTAAATTTGTGTAATTTGGCACTGTAAAAGATCTACTCACAAAAGACAAATTGTCTTACGGGCATTTTTGCAAATTTGAAGAAAGCATTCCAGGGTAGGAAATTGGGAATGAAACCGATTTATTAGATTTCATCCACTATTCGTTAACCGATTTCAATAAAACTTACACTTAAAAATAGACACAAACTTTTGAGGTCGATTCTTTTCTAATAAAAAAGTCATAATAAGTTTAAGTTTTGTCTTTTGAACTTGTTCTTATCTCAGTACAGAACAGGGTTGTCTTAATAAGATTATCTTTTCCTTCACTATACCCATTTAACATCTTTCTGTCCATCTGATTCCCTCCATGAAGCTTCCAATCGTTCTTTATCTCCCTTTATCATTTTCTCCACGTCTTACTATTGATATATAGATGCAATTTTCAATTTCCTTTTGCAATTGGGGTAAAGGTAGCTTTTAATGTAAAAAAAATATAATTCTTTTTTATTGCAGTATATTTAAAACGTTTTATATGCGTATACGTCCCACTGCCGGTCACGATTCTCACTATCTATTAAAGAAAATCAAGATTTCGAGATAATCGCAGATTATTTTCTCTAAGGGAAAGCCCTGCTACTATACACATAAAATAAGTTAAAATGTTAGATGTTGTAATATTATTTATTTATATGTACAAATATTACACTATTAAATAATTAAGTTTTTAGAGTATCATTGTAAGTTGTATTGTAGACTTACAATATAAGTTAAAACGAATATTATTAACTAATATAATGAGAAGTTAATTTAAAAATGTAGACTCTCATTAAAACTTATTTTTACTGAAGTTGATTTAATTGTGTAAGTTCAATAAATTAAAAAAAAACTGTATATAGTAATTTTATATTGTGAGCAAGGTTATTAAATAACAAAAAAAGTTTAGCTACTCAGTAAACGCTGGTATTGTCCAATAGATTTATATACCAATAAACAAATTAGTTGGGCTATATTTAAAAAAAGAAAGAAGACATTTAGAAAAAGAAGTACAAAAAAAAATTGTGAGAAAGTGTTTTACAGAAAAATGCGTAAACCTTGTTATTATGTTGCAAGTGGTTTATTTTGTAAACGAGATACGAATTATTATCTACTGTCACTTTGTATAAATAGATACATTTCTAACACAATTATTGTATACAGTATTTTCGTTTTAAACTATACTTTATTTTTGTTAAGTACCTACATATCATTAGACCAAGAAGTATACAAATGAGAAAGTAGTTTACTCAGCAGCACAAGTATCTGCTCGGACCGATGCTCCTGCAACGATTTAATTAAAGTATGTGTGCTTAAGAAACAGCACTTTGAAATTCTTACCTAAAGGTGTTAGAGTATCTTCTCTTGGGTCTCTATGCCTCCGCCGTTCTCGCCTCTCCTGGCGGTCACGGGCCATGATAGCGGCGATGGAGAAGTCAGTGGCGCAGGGCCGCGCGGAGCACTCCTCCTCCATGGCGGGCCCGCGCTCCCGACCCTCGCCCTGCAGCAGCATCAAGTTCACAGCCTCCGATCCCAGCCTGCCTGCGCCCGCACCCGTTCCAGCTCCCCACACGCCGTCACCGTCTGAACATCCCATCGGAACTAAACATAGTCTGGCTAAACGCAACTTTGATACCGTCGACGTTATGGTGCTGACTAAAAATCGTACACCACAAAATATTATAGGACTTTTTTTGTTTAATCAAAACTCTCTTTACGGTAACGCAAAGTCAATTACGACTGCAAGGGTTCTTGGCTACAAAGTTACGAAACTTTAAACAGTTAATTCCAGCACAAACATTTATGAATAGTTTTTTAGGAGCTAGAGACAACCTAATAGTTGTAAACAACGGCAAAGATAGAGTTAAGAGTGTTGTCACCACGACCGAAAGTTTCGAATTAGATGTAAACTTTTTACGCGCGCCAGTTGCGGCGGATAGAGCGGAGCGACCGGTGCGACGCGGCACGGTGTCGACTCGACTGAGGCGGTGGCGAGACGCGAGGCGGTGCGCCACAGGGAGGGGCCTGCATCGCCGCCCTATGCCACCACACTCCGACCACGCACACACAACTGCTTTTTTATTACTTCTTTCTTATTACGTCCGTCCCGCTCGCGCTGGCCGCTCTACTCGCGCCCGTCTCACTCGATAAGCGAGTTTTTCTCCGCGAGTTAACTATTGAAATTCGCTAAATGGCTCACCGCGGCGCGGAAAAGGCTCTCTCGTTAAACGGTGAGCCGATCGTATCGAAGTATTTATTCGCATTACTCGCTGCGCCGACGCTTCGCATCACTATTTATGCGCTGCGAGAGCTCGCCGCCGCCTTTAGGGCCGAGCCCGCCGATTACTTGCATGAGAATATTCGCGGTTATATTATTATGAATAAATAAATAAGCTCTGAGTTTATTACTCGACATAAATGGCTCCGAGCATAGGAGATGGGTTATTACATGATAAAACATTAATAGATCATGATTAACGGCGATTGCTGCAGTTTCCGATATAAAGTGCATTTATAAAGCAATATCTCTATTGTGTGATAAACTTGTTTCCTTTAAAGTCGATATATATGTAGAAATATGCGTTAAAAATTAATTAGTCGAGCCAAATACAAAGCTAGACTAACATAAAAGAAAATGACAATTACTTATTTATAATAACATGTATAGGTACAGGTACGTATATGTATACAGTGTTGTGCATTTCCGAATGCTTACCCTGGAATCTTAACGTTTGCAATCGCACCAAAACAAATTCCATAACGCCACAATCAAGTAGTTTCTCGACTCTCTCGGCTCTACAGCTAAGTAGTAAAAATAATAACCTTACCTTTCCAAATAGTCAACAATGATCGCTCAATTAGAAATGTTTTATAAACATCATTATATCGGCACAAAGAAAGCAGTCGTATTGCAATCAACGCGTCAATCGCGAGATTGCGGCCTTTATAGCACTGAATCAAATTTGCGGAAAATTGAACTTACAGACTTTCCAGTTTCGTATTTATAATAATTTATAACGTGTGAGGAGGTCAAACTAACCATGTCGCTTGGCAGTAAACCTTATCGACGGCAAACCGGTAATGGGCGCACAAATGGCCGCCGATACGCGGATTGTGACGAATCGCATTAATTATTTTGTTGATTTCCATGGATCGGGGAACGATAATGATAGGTACCTATTGTTTGTTCAGTAAATAATATGAGTACTGATGATTATACTCAATAAACTACTCAAAATTATACTCAATAGTTTCACTTAATGGAGAGTGCAAACTAATTTATATTTCTATTACTCAATTCACCTGTAAGTAGGTATAGGTAAGGAGGTGCAAGAGCTTCTGCAAGTGAAAATTTATGGAACGGAAGTTTTTTATGGCTACGTGAAGAATTAACCATTGCAGTTATAATTGGTTTTTGAGGAGTGCTGAAGCCATTAAAAATACATTGAATAGGTAAATGAAAAGTTTTAAGCACGTAGTTTCACAAAAAAAAAGGTGGAGTTACAAAACTAAAAAGAAATATATTTATGTAAAAAAAAAATGCACTCATTAGCATTTTTTGTAGTAGTTTTGTGTAGTAGATACAAATTCGCTAGGTATTGTTTTTTAAAAATCTATTTCTATTTAAAATCGAACCTGTTAGTAAATAACGGAATCACGTGTAAATAAGAGAACAAATATTTACATCAAAATGTAATTATTATATGCATTTTTATTATTCCTAATTTCATGTAGCGAACAAAAACGTTGCGCGATACATTCTTTTAAATAACATTCTGATGTTATGTATTATTTGTTGTTGTTAGGTACCTTTATTTATAATAATCGATGTTTCTTAATTTGTCACTGGCTGTGTTCATTAAACTTTTTCCCAAATCAACGAGCGGGTTGTGATTAAAATTTTAAAGTAAGCAAAGTGACCCCGTGTGAACGCACTCGCTGTGACGGCCACGGAGGGGGAACGACGCCCCTTGGAGGCGGGACGACAAATTCACTACCACACAAATATACACTTTAAAACATAAGCACATGAAGTTCACTTTTGGGATGTGTCTCTCGGTGCATTTAGTGCAAATCGGTGTGGAAGAGAGGGGCAATTCTTTGCTAATAAGTGCCGTCCGAGTACGCGACATGCCGCGGGGCTCTTTTTTCAAATTTTATGATTTATCAGAACTTTAGCTAGATTCCTTTTGTAATTTTTAGTGTGATTAGGGGTTTAGCCAATTAAAAAAAGAACTGTATAGCAAATTGATGAATATTATTTTGTATTTGGAATTACAACTTTATTGAATATAATGTGAAATAAAAGTATCGTTCTATGTTTCTTGTATTTTTAAAAAACATTAGCAAAACGAAAAGATGTTTATATTGAAAATATAAAAATAAAAATATTTTTAGATTAGATTCTTACATTTTTTAGTAGAGTACTAAAAAATGTAAGAATTACTCCATTGTTACCATTTATATGCTAAACGCAAGTATTCACATACACACTCCCGGACACATAATTTGACCCACCTTGCTTTTTCTGTATTTTTTATTCTATGGAAATGTTCTAAGCTTAAAAAATGTTTTATACATCAAGATCTATTATGTAATTTTAAAACTGATATCGTATATTACGTCCTTTCCATAAGTCCTATTAAAAATCAGAATTTTTAAACAGAGAAAACTTTTTCTTCGTTGGTAACAAATATTTTCTATTCTAGCCTTTTAAAAATAAAACTGTAAATTATTTGTCCGGGAATATATGGTTTGATGATCTATCTCTTCATACTTTTTTTGAATCATATAATTAAAATATTAAGAGTAGCATTTCAATATATTCTAATACCCTCTGTGTTGTTGTAGTTCTTATACACAAGTAACCAAAGCAAATACATTTTTGCAACAATCACAATAGACATTTTTGTAGCAATACCTGCCACAACTGCACTAAGTTGGCCTTCGACTAAACAATAAAATTTTACCACTCGTACTGGTATTAAAACACGTAAATCATAGACATAGTCGCACGATTGAACTACACACAAATTGGTTCTCGTAAATTATACAATGTTTTATTTAACATCTATTAAGCGATAATATTTTTCATTCCTTTTTTTGGAAAGCAGGAAAAAATTGTCAGAAATTGGGAGGTGAAAAAACGGGACACGCAATAGAGCCCTCCATCTAGTCAGCATCAAAGATGGGAAGATAAGCAGTAGCTGACTGCAGGTTCCTATTGGTAGAGCTCAGTGGAAAGATCTAGTGGAGCTTATGCCAAAAGACACGCTGAATTAAGAGAAATAAAATTGTAACTCAGCTGAAAAGGCTTAATAAAAATAAATAAAGCGAGGGTACAATTTCAAAAGACAGCTGAAAAACATTATCCATCACCCCTGCTTAGGTACGTCTTCGCATTATACAACGCTCTTCTAACACATAGGACGTTAGTAGCAGTAGAGCTCCTTGTGAAAGAGTTCGCCCAGGGTGGTACTGCAACCTTACCTATTTCTGCCGCCAAGCAGTGATGAGAGCATTGCTGTGCTCCGGTTTTGAAGGGTAGGGGTGCTGGTGAAATTACAGGTAGGTACGTGGGACTTCTCAACTTATGTCTCAGGGTGACGAGCGCAGTTGCAGTGCCCCTCAGATATTTGCGATCTAAAGCTCAGAGTGGCACTGCAACTGTTATGGATAGGCGTGTAGCTTACCACCGGCCACACGACTTGTTCTTACTGTCACTTGATATTATAAAAAAAAATGTATAAGTACTTAAATGTCAAAATTGTTCATACTTACAACACAATGATATGTAATTAAAAGTTAAATAAAAGTTAAAATCAACTACTTGAATGGAGATACAGAAGAGAAAAATGCTGGTGTTGCCAGCAATTTTCACTTATTAAATTATTATTTAATTATTAAATAAATTAAATTATCAAAAACTGTGTTGTTTGTTACTAACACAGATGTGGCCTTCCTTCAGCAAACGTGCTAATTACAGGCAATATCTTATCTACTATTAACAATAGATTAAAATCTTTTTACGCAATGAAACTCGTGATACATGCGCTATGTCGACAACTTTAGCAGCCTACCATGGTTACGTAGCATCCCTACTTAGATATGGACTTGTTGTTTGGGGAAATTCTACAGATATAAGTAAATTATTTATAGCACAAAAAAATGCATACGGGCAATGTGTTGCTTAGGACCTAGAGGATCATGTAGTCCGCTATTTAAGTCTCTTAACATATTACCGCTTCCTTGTATGTACATCTTTGAGGTATCTAATTTTGTAAAAAATAATAAGAAACTTTTTAAAAAAACACGGGACGTGCACAATCGCAATGTAAGATGCCCCGACAGATTAGTTTATAATAGTTATACCAAATTAAGTTTCTACCAGAAACAATGCGGAGCCATGTGTGTGAGGATATTTAATGCATTGCCTTATGATATCAAAATGTCAAATAGTAGTGCTCTATTTAAGCGTAAGCTGATGTCATGGCTACGAGCCAATAATTTTTATTCCATTAAAGACTTTTTTACACAGACATTTCATAGAATTTGATAACTGTTTTAAAAAAAAATTACATTATGCTATTTATATTATAAAAAAAAATTATATAATGTACATATTGATAATTTTATTGTATTGACTGTACGTCCTAAGTAGTTGACATTGATAATTATGTGATATAATTAATTATTCAATTTTAAATTCTATTGACATTTTGAATTCTATAGTATTTTAATTGAGCTTACTGACTAATTAGTTATGAAACATTGTACACCCGACATGGGTATGAACTGTTGCACCCAAATTACATGTATCATCTTGTTTACCAGTTCAAACAATAAACGATTCTGATTCTGATTCTGATTCTCTATTCAAACTTTCACATACATCCAGCTTTATGAAGAATTTTCTAAATCTACATAACATACAGAAGTTGTTGTTCAGTTTTGATCAAATGACAAACGAAAACAAGTGACTTCGTAAAAAAGTTATCTAGATGCAAAACTAGGTAATCCAAGAAGTAGTATTCTAAACAACGGTACTGAATCCAGTCCCGGATATTAACTGACTACGTGCTCCATCCTGGGTGGCGGTTCATATTGAATCATGCGCCGAGCATCTGTCGAATAAATACCGAGAATCGGTAATACCTGACGTTTAATGCATGTATGCATGCAGATTCCCTCTGTCTCAACTCTAATACCTAGTCAATATGTTGTACGTTGTTATTTTTAGTCCCTCAAGTAGCCATTATGTTGTTCAAAAATTTGCCATTTACGAGGCTTAAAACTTTATTTCCACCTCACTAGCTCGCAAAGGTTTTCTTTCTCATTAGAGATCTGCGCGCAAAAGCGTTTTTTTGCAAGCTAGCGTGGATAATGTTTTTGAAATTTGAACTTGATGATGGACTGTGGTGCACTTTTTCTTTCGATGAAAAAAAAAAAGGTAATGACACGTTCAACTACGCGATTTGTCATACATTATTTATGTAATATAAATCCGTTGGTATATTTTATTATTCTTATTGTTGACATTAAATTGACAACAATAACTAATTTTGTTTATTAAAACTCCGCGCTAGCGTGGGAAAAACGCTTCTGCGCGCAGAAAGAAAGTCATCTAAGCTTTTAAAGATTTTTGACATTATTTAGGTGTGCATGCTCCATCGTCACTTTCCATTAGGTGAGATGCAGGATATAGTTCTTAATAAAAAAAATACAGCTTCTACGTACTTGGATGACAAAAATCCACTCTAAGCGTTACGCACAACTTGTGCGTCCCGTTACTAGGTATTATAAAAATTAAATTTAAAATGAACTGTGACTCAGCACCTAGGATTACGACGAACTTTGCCTAAGTTTAAAGAAGAAATTATTAGTTTTCGCGATTGTTACAAATAACAAATTAAACTATATTTCTAAATCGCGTATAAGTATTAGTTTTTTCAAACAAACCAAACAAAATATTAGATATAACTGGTTGATGACCTATCTACCTGTCAGTCGTGACCACTGGGACCTATGTTAGGTAGTTTGTTTGAATGAGCGCGATTTAAAATACTTAGTTTCATTTTCTATACTTACCATCAGGCGCACGACAACGTTGTCCCGTCACTTGATATTATATATATAAAAAATTTTTAATTTATAATGAA